TTTTTTTTTTTTTTTTTTTTGGTACCAGGGATCAAACTCAGGACCTTGCACTTGCAAGGCAGGTGCAGTGCAGCTGAGCTAAGTCCCTGGCCCCGGATTGTTGTGAGTTTGAGGCCACCCTGGGCTTCCTCGTGAGCTCAAAGCCAGCCTGGACTACAAAGTGAGAGCCTGTCTCAGAAAAGAAAGAAATATTTGCAGTTCTGTGGACAGTGTTGTATTGTCTTGAAAACCACTTGTCTTCAAACCGGTCACCATCCAGTCCATAGGACTTGGGCCTTTTCCCCAGGTTGAGAGGTGCCTCTGTGTTTTTCTTTAACATTGGCAGGTTTCCCACTCAATTCTCTCAGCATCTCTGTGAGGTAGGCATTCTCTTTGTTGTTGTTGTTTTTTGAAACAAAGTCTCACTATGTGATTCAGGCTGACCTTGAACTCACTGTGTAGGCTAGGCTGGCCTTGAACTCTGGAACTCTCAGTGATCCTCCTGCCTCAGCCTCCCGAGTGGAGGCCAGGCTGGATACTGAAAGGAATCTAACAGCCTGAGAGCAAGGAGGGGGTCAGCTCCAAGCAGGAAAGATCCCTCTGGGCTCCGCAAAGACCAGCTGGAGGCAGGAGGGTCATCCCAAGCTAGAGCCACGGAGACAGAGGACGGGGACACACAGCAAAGATGGGGCGGACAGGGCTATGACAGACAGGCTTTGGGATGAGTGATGAGAAGGGGACACTGGACTTGGCTTACAACCAGGAGATGATGTCCTGAGGGCCACCCAGGGCCACCACAGGCAGCTGGGCGCGTGAGGCTGAAGCCCAGGTAGTGACTGTTTGGAAAGCAGTGCTAGGTTGGTGATGGGTCACAGGAGGTGCTGGGCTCCTCCAGGGCCAGTGAGCAGGAGAGATTCACGGGCGTTGGGCCTTAGGGAACCTTGACTCCTGGGTCCTGCAGGAAGGCACACGGAAGAATCAGGAACAACTGTCCTGCTTGTGTCTTCCGCTCCTGGGAAGGTGACAGAGTGACCCCAGTGAGGGGCACAGGGAGAAGTCTTGGAAGGTGGTGAATTCACGGGCAGGTTGGACACAGGGCCTGGGGCTCAGGGGCAGGGGAGAGCAGGCACCACTGGGGCGGGCGAGGCTGGGCCGGGGGAGAGGGTTCTGGGTGACAGGCGTAGGGGACAGCCATCCTTTTGGTTCCCACAGAGAAACTCCGAGGGAGAGCTGCCGTGCCCTGAAGGGTGGAGGAAGGAGACGTCCTCGATGTGGTAAGGAGCAGATTCCTCACTGAGCGGCCCTCTGCCTCCCAGGGACACCCGTCGTCCCCCGGGCAGCTCCCCAGTCACTCACTTAAGCCTCGGTGAGGGGCCCAGGCCTTTCGCCGAGATGGTCAGACCCTGAGTGTCTCCGGCTCTGCTCTGGGGAGTCAGACCGGAAGAAACAGTTCAGGGGGAGATGGCACATGGGGGAGGTGACCCCAAGGGTGCCCTGTAAGACAGAGAGCGGGGATAGGAGGCCCAGGAGGGATGAGGCCCGCATGGGCCCTGCATCCCTCTGGTCTCCACCTCTGTAACCCTGAAGTGCCAGCCTGGTTACTGCTGCGTGGCTGTCACAAGGCGGTGTCAGGCCCCTGAGCAGGCAGAAAGCATTAGCAGTCTGGGACCTCTGGCTTCCGCTGGTTTCTCCCTCCCCCACCCCTCAGTCTTGGCGGCGGTGACTAATGAGGCTGCCCGCTGTGGCCTCTAATTGGACTTGTCTGGGAAGAGCTGAGATTGGGCTGCTGGGGCTCGGAGCTGAGCCCTCCCTGCGTCATCTGGGAAGGGAGAAGGAGCTGAGCCCAGCGCGGGGCAGGGGTGGCGCCCTCTGAATTTCCGGAGAGTGGGGAAAGTGGCGAATACTGTGCCCAAAGGTGGCAGGGTTGAAAGCTTGACCTTGACAGGTTTGGGGAACTAAACTGCCTGGGTCCCGAGTAGAAGTTTCAGGAGATCCGACTGCCGAGTATCTGGGGCGGGGGCTGACACTGTGTCTCTGAGCACGAGGTGGCGCCCCGTGGACACCAGTGCCAGAGAACATCCAAGGGCTCAGCCGGCTGTGCCCTGGGAGGAGCAGAGGCTTTAGGAGAAGTGACTGGGTCGGGGCAGAGCTCAGAGTTGGGCCTGAGGCCGGGGAGTCCTGAGCTGGAGCTCCAGGCCTTCAAGACCCCGTAGGACTGAGACACTGAAGACTGGCACAAGCTGTCGGACAGCATGCCACGGGGGTGCTAGGGTGTTGGAAGTGGGAGAACCGGAAGCCCCGTGAGAAATCACCTGGAAAGTAGCAGGTGAGAATTCTATTCCAAAATAAAGATGCTCCCTTATCATCTGAGGGGATCACAGGCTGGAGAGTTCGATGGAAAGTCCCTGAAGAGCCGGTGTGCAGGACACCCTGGCCCTCCTGGGCCATCTGTGCTGCTTTTAAGGCTCCCTCCCAGTCCCCAGGCCGGGGGGACCAGATGCAGTGACTTCCTTGGCCCTCAGGTTGCCTGGAAGAGAGGAAGCAGAGGCAGAGGAGGAAGCAAAGAGCCAGCTGACGGTAGGCGGTCCCAACACCCTGTTCTGTCCAGGCCCCAGGATCAACTCCTTCCCCTCAGGAGCGGAGAGAAAATCCTTGGCCAGGAGATAACCAGGCCCAGAGGGAGGGGTGGGGAGATGGGGAGGCCTGGAGGGGGCGCTGGGCTGAGCTGCACACATAGCCACACCACGGACTGCCCCGTACAGTGCCCACCTGCTGCGGGCCAGTGGCCTCCCCCGCTGCCCCACCCGCAGGGCCCCCACTCCGCCCTGGGAGGGGGAGGCTCCAACCCCAGCTCAGTCACCAGGAGGGAGGGAGGCAAACTGGGTGAGAAGCCCATGGTCTTCAGCAGAGGCTGTGAGAGGCAGCCCGGCCACGTCCCCAGCCCTGCCGGGACACTGGCAAACCTCTTGGCCCAGACTGGCCAAGACGGTGCCCTTAGGGAAGCTCTGCTCAGAGGGACCTGGCCCCGAAGCCCCCGACACCCCTGCCCCGACAGTGCCAGCTCAGCATCCTCAAAGTTGGTGCAGTGAGAGTCCCATGCCTGGCACAGCGGCTGGCAGGGGTGAAGGCAGTGGTTGGGGACGGCCTTTTGTTCTTGTTCAAAGCTGTGGGTAGGGTAGGAAAGCCGAGACCTGGGCATGAGGTGGCCTGAGGCCTTCGCACAGGCAGAATGGTCTGAGGCACCTGGTGTTCGAGGCCCAGCACAGAGGCCTTGTGCTGGCAGTGGACCAACCGCTACCCTGGCAGCTTAGAAACTCCAAGGAACCAGGTGGGATGTGAGGATGGCAACATGAGTAGCTCACTCAGTCACAAGTGTTCACTGTACTGGCCCTCTTCTGAGCCTTCCCACTTTTTTTTCTTCCTTTTTTTTTTTTTTTTTTTTTTTTTTTTTTTAAAAAGGGTCTTGCTTTTTTTTTTAGGTT